CATAAATAACACTGCAAGTTTAGACAAGGTTGTTAGGTGTGGCAGTGAGGTTTTAAAGGTGTTCATGTCTAGCTCTGCACTAACTAATTTCTATAAATGTTTATTCACAGAGCATTTACAAAAGTACCCTTTCCATTTTCTCATACAAGACTCCCTTAGGTTTATCATTTACACTGCAGTGATTTCAACTATATACAATTTACACATACAGTAATGCGCATATATGATATGATAGGCAGGATAGCAAGCACGCCCAACTCAAATGTAAAATACCACCCAATGTAAAGCAATGATCTTTTCTTTTACCACACATGCCATATTATGACTTATTAGAACCCAAAAAGGCTCATGCAGTAAATCAATGGTGGATGCACACATACTTGTCTTTTCCAATGGTTTCGTAGTCTTTCACAACCACATCAATGAATGACGAGGAATCCAATGGGGAACCTTTCAAATCAAACTCAATGATCTGAAATAGCAAAATCAGGTCTCGGTTATCCACATTTAAGATGCATCAATTTAAATGACATAAGTGTCCAACAACAACAACAAAAAAGAGAGAAATAAATGACTTGTACTGACCTCATTCCACACAGGATTTAATTCTTTGTCAATGGCTTTTGTTTTCTTTTTTTCACCTGAAATGTATTTATTTACATTTTTTTATGACCATCCAAATACATAAGTTATAATATTAATATAACATCCCCACAGTTACTCAGAACATCATCATATTTATATATATATATATATTATTTTAAATATGATTATAATGAAGAATGTGCTTTATGCAGTAATATACATTAGGTTTGCACAATTGAAAGTCATTTTTAAGGGTCACCTAAAAGATATTTTAGGTTGAAATAACAACTGCACATTTCCACATTTTGCAGTGAAGGGAGGGACAAGTTTTCCCTAACGATGGGTCATTCCAATCCCTTATAAGGAAATGTGCTGTTCTTTTACGTGTAAACAAACATAACACATATGAAAAACTAGTTAAATCGCTTTAGAAAACCTCATATTGTAAATATTTGTAAAAATGCATCGACTTCATCTGCTCAACTTGTCAGTTAGCCTACTCAGTAAACTATGATTAAGTTTACATTTTAAATATAGTATTTAATACATAGGTCTCAATAAAATAGAATAAAATAAACCTCTTGAGAGGGGAAAAAAAAACCCGGGAAGACTTACCCTTAAACAGGATAGTTGCGATAGGATCTGGAATTCCAAGTGTCTTTTTAGGAATTCCTTTGGCGGATTCAACAACCACCTTCAACATGTTGCCAAATGTTGTGAATTACGGTTGCACAGAAGACCACATAGATAAACTTCATGCAGAAACACTGACCATCAGAGGAGGAAGCGCCAGTCAGGGAGAGACTCTCAATGAGAGGAGGGACCATGAGTCTGTGGTTTAGTTTCAGGAACCTCTGAGAACTTTTTTTCCTTATATGGAACGGTAAAACAGACATTTTACATTTTAATTTTATTTGGCTCGTTAGAATAAGCTTGTTTGCACTGAGGAGCTAGACTGAATATGGTAAGTCAAAGTCAAGGTAGCCTACATCTGGTAGATCTCGGGGTGAGAATCCCAACTGGAAAAAATTATTTTAGCAGACCCCAATGGGCCAAAGCCACAAGAGCAAAATGTAGGCTAAACAAGAGTTAATATAGCCTACTGCGCCGAATCATTTTGTATGGTCTTTTATATCATATAGGCTATATTTACACACAACAAATAGGCTATAATAAAAAATATATTTACCTGTGCTCAAGCTCCACCACGTGGTGGCATTTGTTTTTTACATTAATTTCAAAGACGCGTTTATCAAACGCGATTTAAAAGTGGTGAAAGACACGATAACTTTCACATTGGCCTAAAATGTGTTTTCAAATGTTTCATTAACCACAAAGGTTACACAAAGTTTGTCAGGGTGCAATTTTTCACCTTGTTGTATCAAACAGACACTGGCGAACAGAAATCACATCAACCTTTCGTTTTTGGATTGGCTTCTTCACCCAAAAATGTAATATAATTTACTCACCCTCATGTCGTTCCAAACCAGTATGACTTTCTTTTGTGAAACATAAAATAAGATATTTTGAGAAATGTCTTACTATCCCGTTAAGATAACTAGTCTATACTTATAAATAGACTATAACGTGTGTGTGAGTGAGTGTGTACCTGTCTAGTGTCTACCTATCTAAGTGGGGACCTTGCAAACAATGGGACAAAATGTCCTCGCGAAGGTGGCAAAATCTGAAATCCGTGTGGGGACATTTTTGGTCCCCATGAGGAAAACAGCTTATAAATCATACTAAGTGATGTTTTTTGAAAATTTAAAAATGCAGAACATTTTCTGTGATGGGTAGGGGACAGAATTATATACACTCTGTACGGTATAAAAATCATGTCTATGGAATGTCCCCATAAAAACCCAACATATGTGTGTACACAACTTGTGTAGTTCATTCAACTACCAGATGATGGTGGTAAATGACAACTTACATAATAAATTAATAATACAAAATTGAGTATTGAAGTGCATTTTTGTCTCAAGCCAAATATTCTGAATGTGCAAGTTTTAAAGCATTTGTTTTTCAATTTTCTTTCTAAATGTCCATGACCTAACTTCTTGTGTGGAACAGATTTATAATAGAGTTGGACTGAATGCATGTCTGGCCATTTATTTGGTGTATTAAGTGCTACAAAAGCATGTGAATTGCTCCAGGGATAGATTGAATAGATATGAGAGCAGAAGGCAATATATGATTACATGTCTATTCAACCATTTTAACCAAATGATGAAACAGGACTCTTGCTCAAACCAAAAAGCCCACTGCAGCAGCTGAGGGCAATATCCAGACACTAAAAACCTTTCACTCTCTCTCGATTGCTGTTGCTTCCTCTCCAGGGCATTATGAACACTTTTATCGCAGAGATAAACGGAAGAGTGCATCCTCTCCACATCTCTGTAACAAGTCTATAAAGACTGGGGGGGAAAGGTTCTTCACCCTGTAATACATTTAATGTCCTTAAAATCTTCAAATGGCTATACCACAATCAGGTTACTGTGAGAATTAAATAGTTCTTGTTTCTTTTATAATAAATTAAAAGTATCCATACCACTTCATTTTTTTCCCTCCACATTTTGTTATTTTGCAAATAACAAATTTATGATAACTTTGCATATGTATTAAAAAAATAAAAAACTGAAATATTACTTTGCAAAAGTATTAATACCACTTGACACTTGAAATTGAGCTCAGGAGCATTCCAATTTCACTTGTGGAGTTAACCTGTGGCAAATTCAATTGAATGGGTATGATTTGGAAAGACACACACCTCTCAATAAAAGCTCTAACAGCTAAAAATGCATAGAGCAAAAACCAAGCCATGAGGTCAAAAGAACTGCCTGTTGAGCTCAGAGACATGATTGTATCAAAACACAGATCTGGGGAAGACTACAAAACAATTCTGCTGTATTGAAGGTATAGCACAGAAGCATGTAGCCTCCATAATCCTTAATGGAAGAAGTTTGGAACAATTGGGACTCTTCAGCTGCCTCCTGGCCAATCTGAGCAATTGATGGAGAAGGGCCTTGGTTAGAGTCATGACCAAGAAGCTGATGGTCACTCTGGTTGCGCTCCCTGATCATATATGGAGATGGGAGAAATTTACAGAAGGACAAACATCACTGTAACACTCCTCTTATCTGGGCTTTAGTGGCAGACTCTCCTCAGTGGAGACAGGAAAACCCACTTGAAATTTGAAAGAAGAAAAAAAAAAGCACCTAAAGGACTCTCTCAGACGGTGGGAAACAAGATTCTCTGGCCTGATGAACCTGTTCCAAGCATCATGTCTGGAGGAAACCAGGTACTGCTCATCACCTACACAATACTATCCCAACAGTACAGTGTGGTGGTAGCAACTGCATGGGTGTTTTTCAGTGGCAGGGACTGAGGGACTCGTCAGGGGAGAAGGCAAGCTTAATGCAGCAAAATATAGAAATAGCCTTAATTAAAACCTAGTCCAGAACCCTCAGAACCTCAGACAGGGCAGAAGGTTCACCTTCCAACAGGACAATGACCCTAGCACACAGGACACAGCTAATGCCATGGACACACTTAATGACTAGCTGAAACATTCTAAGACTGAACTGAACACACTTACAGAATGTTTCCAACAACTGCAGCGGATTTCAAACACCAACTGTGAACACCAACTGAACGGAACCGTCTCTGACTCGGCACGTTTGGGGCATGATCAGTCGTAAGTATATATCAAATTACATTCATAATCGGCCTTACAGTCGTTAAGTGTGTCCCGAGCTTAAGACAATGCAAAAGTGGCTGATTGACAACTGAATGTCCTTGAGTGGCCCTGTCAGAGCCTGGGCTTGAACCCAATCGAACATCTCTGGAGAAACCTGAAAATGTCTGTCCACCGACGGCCCCCATCCAACCTGACAGAGCTTGAGAGGATCTGAGGAGAAGAATGGCAGAGAATCGCCAAATGTGCAAAGCTTGTCGCATCATACCCAAAAAGACTTGTAAATACTGTAAAGGTAGTACTGAGTTAAGGGTTTGAATACTTTTGCCATGTGCTTATTTCAGTTTTTCTTTTTTAATTAATTTGTAAAGTTGTCACCTATCTGTTTTTTTATATGTGTATGGAGTGTAGATTGATGTGGGGGAAAAGTAATTTAACATGATTTAACATTCTGTTTAAGTAGTTTAACATAAGGCAGCAACATAACAAAATGTGAAAAAATTTAAGGGGTTTGAAGACTTCCGCAAGATACTGTATATACATACATACAGTACATATATATGGTGAGAGAGAGAGAGAAAATGGGAATAAATTAACTTCATTTTAGTGACCATATTCACATTTTACTGCAGTCAAAGCTTAACATAATTTCCGTTATTTTATTATTTGAGCTGTATAACCATTTTCAAAAAGTGGACACACAAAAAGACACTTCTGTCTTGTTAAACTAGGAAATATAATTTATTGCATAAAAATTATATTTAGTTACAGTAAGAAGTCTAAACATTTATGTACAGTATTACTTTACAGCATTACATGAAGACTCGAAAAAGACTCCTGACTTCTTGTGTACCTTCTTTGATATAAAATAACATCTGAACAAAACAAAAAAAAAGGTTCAGCCACACTTAAGAATCCATGAACAGCAACTACCATCCAGAGAAAAGCAAAGCCCATTAAGCTTCACACGTGAAAGGCTCAAAGGCGTTTTCGTGTTACATCGACTGAGAGATGACTGGAGACATTTCAGAGCCATTTAAAAGCTTCAGAGTTCACAATTTCAATGTTATTTACTGTCTTCGTCATGTAGAGGGTTAAAAAAAATCCTCCGAACAAACTTCTCGTTGTTCATTGTGAGGGCGCAAGACAGTGACATCCCAAAAGCTTCCTAAACAAATGAGGAGAACGGCACAGAGGTCACGGATCCCTGACCCCCAATTACAGTCATTTTGTTTGCATTTATTACGGCTGAGAGGCCTAAGAGGTCCAGTTTCCCCAGCTTAGATACAGCAGTGATCAAAAGAGGGACAGTAACAAGATTCCCATTCCACATACTTCATACAAGAGACATCAAGACGTCCACAGATTCACTTTTTGTTGTGCACTTGCATAGTACTTATAATGGGAAAAGGGGACAACAGATATGATGAAGCCTGTTCATTCATATACACTGTAGCACTGACTGATAGGTTGGTGCAAACAAGCTCTGTCACACTGTATTTTTCCACCTCTCTCTCTCTCACACACACACACACACACATCTTGGTTATTTAATTCACACCTTTACAGGCATGGACAGATACTGCACATTTCCTTTTTGTTTTGTTTTGTTGCCAGACATTTGAACACTTGTGAAGAAAAGGTCAAGAAAAATAAAAGAAATGGACCCGCATCCACTTCAAACGATTATATGACTTCTGATAATAAGTAGTACATGGCTTTCAGGCTTACTCAAGGGAAACCCATTAAACCCCGAAAGTCAAAACAGACAATAAAGAGCAAGTGGGTCATACTGCAATCAACAGAGCACTTACGCCACCTTTCAAGGCTACTATTTATAATTTAAACAGCACGACTGACTGGCATCAAAACCTGAAAACGGCTTTCTGCCATCCGCACAATTTCATACTCTTTAACCAGTGCAGCATATTTGCAGTACGCTTTCCCAAGAAGGATCAAACCATATTTAACCTCAGCGTAACATTTCAATTTCACTCCATCTCAGTTTCAATGACCAAAAAAAGTCAGCTCTTACTTGTGAGGTACATCACAAAAACCTTTAAATGCAAGGTTTAACTGCTATCGTGCCTCTTTTCAGTCAGAGATGAATGCAACATTGCAGCAGTTTTAAAAAAAAGAACATAACGGCAGTTACGAACAGAAGAGTGAAAAACAGTGATCCGCAAATAGGGATAATAACTTTAAAAAGTCCGTTCCCTATAGGAAACTAATATGAGTTTACCAGAAAGCTCTCCTGCATTAGAAATGATCGACTGAATATAAAAAAGAGAGATAACGGAGGCTAATGGCAGTATGATCAGAGAAAGAAAAAGATTGGTCCTCTGCTAACGAGAACGCACAAATCCATTCCTGTACGCTATTTCAAAAGACACAGAAAATGATGCTTCAAACTAAAGTAAAAGTGAAGCAACTCTCCGAAGCATGTGGTTTGTTTCAAGTGAAATCGTTATGAAAGCTGATTTTAGTGCAGATGATTATAGCTCCTTTTTAATATCTGCCTTTTTTCCACCTTTACTCTTGTTTATTTGTATGCGAGCACGTTTCCTGAGGAGCTTGGCGCACTGCTGTTTTACCGGACACAGAATCTCAGTGTCTTTAAGCATCTAGCGGTCGCTAGGAAACAAAGCCAGCTGCTCGATGTGCAATGGCGTTAGATACTTCATACTTTCACACTTGCTATGTGTAGCAGTGTGTATCAGTATGATGCAACTATCATTTAATCATGAGCTGATACCAGCAAATGCACCAAAGAACTGACTTCTTTTTCAAACAACATCTCTGTTTTGTGATTGCAGCATCATCTCATTTGCTACATTTAGATATGTTTTATTCAAAGATCATCCAGAGCGCCTGACCACAGCTCATACGCTTTGCAATCCTTGGAATATTCAATCCTTGCATGAGCACAAAGGAACTGAGGTAAAAGGCAAGTTGTAACGATGCACTGGAGTGCAGTTTCCATCCGCTTGCATTAATTCTAGGTTTTTAGTGGCGAACATGTCCCTTTTCACACTTTTTTGATTGGCCGATCAGCAATCTCCATCCGTCGTCATGACAACCAAGACCTCACTCTTGCCCATCTCTTCAAGAGCTGTCGCCAAGGAGACCAGGTCTGCGTCACCCTGGTGACAAGCTTCCCAAAGGTCTAGCAGCACACCTGTGGGGCTGGGTTTGGTTGCAAAGTAGTTCAGATACCTGAGGGAGAGACGTGGAAAGAGATGAAACAGTTCTCATCGTCTACGTCACGTGTAGAAATAAATATGCTGATTTTTTTTTTGGTGCCGGGAAAGATTACCTGTCAAAGCCCAGGCTGCGAGCCAGCATTCTCCAGTCGCAACCGCGTGCGCTGGGGGCATCCAGACTGGCACAAATTTTCTGGCGTATGGATACGGGCAGTCGGAAAGCATATGGGCCCACTTGAGATGAAGGCAGACACGAACCGCCTGCTGGCAATGGAGAGTGGGGAGGCAAGGTCTGAAGAGCAAACGCACAAACACGGGAAAAGAAGTCAGCGCCAGATACTATATATTATTTTCAAATCATTCACTAGTGACTCGACAGAATAGGTCCTGCTGTTTTCTGTACCTCTTGGATGTCGGTGTTAAGCTGGAATATCTGTCCCTCGCCCTCCACCTGTCTGACACAGATCTTGCAGGTGAGCTGGGAAACCACCAGGCTTCCTCTCTCCAGACTGAAGGTGCAATGCAACGGCCGCTGACTCCCACTCCAAATGTGATAGAATGGGATTTCCTGGGACCATACACACAATTAAAAGGATCATTTTTAGTGAAATGGAACATCATGAATTGCATCTGACGATGCTCAAATGGGTAACATTTTAATAATACTCCTACACAATTTTGTACATATGCCATTCAAAAGTTTTAGATTGGTAAGATTTTTTTCATGGTTTAAATAAAAGTCTCTTCTGCTCACTAAGGCTGCGTTTATTTGATTAAAAATACAGCAAAAACAGTAATATTGTGAAATATTTTTTACAATTTAAAGCTGCAGTCCGGCGTTTTTCCTCTTTGTCGCCATCTCTGTTCGAAATCTGCAATTGCAGTCATTCGCGGAATTATCAACTTTACGTGAGTTGTACTTCAACACCTTCGACACGTCACAGCGCGGATGAACTCAATGTTTGAGGAGACTTTGAGGCTGTCAGTCACTGCGCTGGTGTGGATACTGGCATTCAGAATCACAGATTATTATTTTTGGAAGTATGACCAACATAAGAATTTTCACCGGAAAATGTCATCTGAACTAGTAAGAAACATCCACCTTTGTTCTGGTTCTGACATTGCAGTAAATCGCGCTGATTAAATCTAACAATCGCTTATAAGTTATCATATCACGCAAAACCGTGCAAATTATACTTTGTTCTCAAATTGTTAATGTTAACAACGTCAGCATTGCGTGACTACATGTAATGTCCTTCCGATATCTATCCTTGTTTTCGCATGGGTCCGGTTGCAGTCTCTTTTTTTTCTGTAGCCACTCCGAAGTCCGAACGAAGTCTTTTGCATTTTACAACGGGTGAATCTGTTGTCACTGGTGATTGTCGTTTGAACTTTTCTGGATCCGCCATCAAATTGATAAGTTTAATTATATCAAGTGCTGTAAGAAAAGGCTATAAATCTCCATCTCCAACATCCTCACACGCAATATAGCCTACTAGCCGAGACTCTTCTTTATGTGTACAGATGTGACGTAATGACGCAAAGACATGCTCGAATCTCGGCGGAAATCCACCAGTACCACTGGAATTAAAAACATTATTACAAGCTTACCGTTTTGAATCGAGCTAAGGGCAAGCAGATAGTTTTGAACACTGGCTGGTTATGTATTTTCTCAAATATGTATTTTGGATAATTTTTAACCCCCAAAAAGCTACAGACTGCAGCTTTAAAATAGCTGTTTTCAATTTGAATAGATTTTAAAATGTTATTTATTCCTGTGATTGCAAAGCTGTATTTTCAGCATCAATACTCCAGTCTTCAGTGTCACATGATCCTTCAGAAATCATTCTAATATGCTGATTTGCTGCTCAAGAAACATTTATTATTATTATCAAATGTTGAAAACAGTAGTGTGCAATTTTTTTAAGGATTCTTTGATTAATATAAAGTTAAAAAAACAGCATTTAATTGAAATCGAAAGCTATTGATGTCACGGTTTGGGTTTTGTTTCTTGTTTCTTGTTCCTGGTTCTTGTCATGTGATTCCGTTTGTCATGTGATCCTGCCATGTGTCTTGTCATTGGTTAATCGTCTGATTATTGTTCACAGGTGTCCCTTGTCTTGTCGTTAGTCTTGTGTATTTAAGCCCTCATGTTTGCCCTGTGTCTTTGTCTAGTATTGTATGTTCTGTAATGAATGGCTGGCAGCAAGCTTTAGGACCCAAATGCAAACTTTAATAAAACACTCAAACACAAAACAAAGGCATGGCGAGGCATGAGGCATGAAACAGAAAACTGAAAACAAGAACCTGGACCAGTAACATTCACACATAACATACAATACTAGACAAAGACACAGGGCAAACATGAGGGCTTAAATACACAAGACTAACGACAAGACAAGGGACATCTGTGAACAATAATCAGACGATTAACCAATGACAAGACACATGGCAGGATCACATGACAAACGGAATCACATGACAAGACAAGAACCAGGAACAAGAAACAAGAAACAAAACCCAAACCGTGACAATTGAACCATTATAAATGTATTTACTGATTTTTTTTTTTGTCAATTTAATGCATCCTTGCTGAATAAAAGTATTAATTTATTTAATTTGAACATTAAAGTTAAGCTGAAATACCATTTGCAACTCATTTCAGTTCTGTAATCTGATGTAATTCTGATGCAGCGGCCACTTGCATAAACTTGGCCACTTAAAGACATAGTTCACCCAAAAATGAAAATTATGTCATTATTTATTCACCCTCAAGTTGTTCCAAACCTGTATGAGTTTCTTTCTTCTGCTGAGCACAAAGGAAGATATTTTGAAGAATGTTGGTAACCAGACAGTTGACAGTAACCACTTACATCCATAGTATTTATTTTCTACTATGAAGGTCAATGGTTAACTTCAACAGTTTGATTACCAACATTCTTCAAAAATATTATTTTGTGTTCAACAGAAGAAAGAAACTCAGGTTTTGAACAACATGAGGGTGAGTAAATGATGACATAATTTTCATTTTTGGGTGAACTATGCCTTTAAGACCATCTTAAGAACTAGTTTGATCAACTAGCAGATAGCCAAGGGGTATACATTTCTGTTTCAAAGTAGACCAAACTACATTTTATGTAACTAACTTTAAAAAGTTAGGACCAGTCTTGTGGAAAAAATAAAGACTAACTTTTTAAGACTAGTGTAAGCAGTTTACAGTATGTAACTGGCCACAGGGGTTTGGAGGAGAGGGATTGAAAACTAGGAGGGATTTGTGACAAAAATAAAAGTCGTTTCACAGATGGAGCAAGTTAATACATTAAACCAAACAAAACAAGAAGAAATTCTAAATTCTAACCATATAACCAATAACAATACAAAATCTCTCACCTGATACTTAGCCAGGAGTTTACTCCTCCAATGTGAATGAGGAATGTCATGAATTGATAGCCGCAGGTTGTGGTAACTGTCCTTAAAGAGGAGGGGTTTGGGATCCTCTAGTAAAACCCCTCCCAGACTTCGCTCAACTTCTAATACTTCCTGCAATAAGATAAAGACAAAATGTATACTTATTTTATATTTTCAATCCAAACATTGTATTGGTAAAGTAAACTTGGGAAGGTCCATTAAGTGGGGCAGGTAAACTGACCTTAAGGGCATGTGGTGTGTCCTGTATACAGTAGACCCTCAGGCTGTAGTCCAATGAGAGGCACGGGGCCCGAGGAGCAAAGAGGGCCAACTGCAGTCTCTTACAGGCTGGTCGAGGGGGAGCCGACTGTCCCACCAGACCATACGTTCCCAGCTGCTCCATCAGAATATGGCAGCTTTGCTCCTCCACCTGTAGGTAGCAGGGAGAGGACAGACTCTCCTCTCCCACAGTTAGCACCTCCTAGTGGATGGGAGGAAAATAAAAATGTTACACTATGGCCTGGGCTGAATCCGAAATCGCCCCCCAAACCATCATTCACTATTTCCTACGTTAGTCCACTAATACTGTTCACTTGAAGAAGTGAATAAAAACAAGTGAGCGAATTCGGACAGCCGTTGATCATACTTCGGTTGTACACTCGTTATTGCAGTGCAATATGGGATTGAATAAGTGCACTCATGTCCACTATGGTTTCGGACACCACTACAAATGGCTGTCCCTTTAAATAACGCCCTATTTGAGGGTATAGGGGGCGATTTCAGATTCAGCCCTGGTTTCACAGACAGGCCTTAGATTAAGTCAGGATTAGGCTTTAGTTCAACTAGGACATTTAAGTAGGTTTTATAAACATGCCTTAGGGGAAAAAAACATTACTGGTGTGCATCTTGAGACATAACAATGAGACAAAGCAAGTTGTTTTTAGTTAAAACAGCTCAAACATGCATTTTAGTGCTTAAGCCTTGTCTGTGAAACCGAGGGTATGTCTAATGATGTGATGTCTGTCAAGAGTATATACTATCCTGATTTAACCTGTCATCCATTAACACTCATCATTCCTCTTGCTCTTTCAATTACCCAACCTCATCCTTCACTGATTCTCTGTCATTATCCAATGATCTATAGCCGCTCTCATTTTTCAGACATTATGCTCACCTCCCAGGAGCCTTGATGGTTCTGCATTTTGAGGGTGAGGGTCCAGTCTGGGGGCTCTAGCTGGGCACAGTGAGGCAGACTGAGGATTACAGGTCTGCTCAGCAGCATGCCGGAGGGTCCGCAGCTCACCACTGGACTTAATACCGTCTGACTACCATCTGATGGCAACCTGACACACAAACACAGCAACAGAGGTGAGCAACCTGACATCCATGCAACTCAAATTAAGTACAATATCATAAACACAACATCCCATATTCTGTCCTCCTTTATTTGGAGTAATATTAGATTAGAAATTGTTTGTTTTTATCCTTTTGCCACTTGTACTTATAATGATAGTGGAAAGGAAAGATTGGGAAGTGGGATACAGAAATGCTGCATGCCAAATTCAAACTTGTGTCGGCCACATGAGCACCAAGGCTCAGCCTCACTGTGCCAAAAAAGACATGCTAAGCCAGAGCTATGGCTCTAACAATATTTTTTTATACAAATGGTGAGAGGAAGACAATGCTTGCAGTCTGAAAGCTCTAAAGGCAGAGCAATATGTATATATTTCATATTTGACAATAAAACAAAAACAGTAAAATAAAGAAAGAAGAAGAAAAAAAGAGAGAGCCTCAGCAAAAAAGTCAGAGCTCAGACAACCATTCAAGACATATTTGTTTGTTTGTGTTTTTCTGCTGTGTCAGTTTTGAAATGTTATTTTTTTCCCTAATGCTGCCACAGGGGTCAAAGCTTTTCTGCAGTCAATATTGCTCTGCAAGGACTGTCGAGATGTTTTGAACTGTTTGCAACTACACAAAGTGACAGATAAATGCAAGTGTTATAAGTCAGGAAATGACAGTGGGATGGGGCCGGGGCACTGAAAAACTGTTTTAAGTGGCTGACTTACGTTGTTTTCTCCCATTTGTTTATAATGAGATACATCTCGTAGAACTTGCCCTGAGGAATCGTCCCTGGTGGAACCAACAGGCTCACCCCTGGCAGGGAGAAGGGGGAACAGAGGTTAAAAAAATAAAAAAATATACATTTTTAATTAAATACTTTCAGTTTATAATTGCAGTATTTTTGCACTGTAATGTGAGCTATAATTTTTATTAAATATTTTTTTATATTTTTATATTAAAATTCATTTTATATACAGTATTTATATATATATATTTACAGTACATCTGTGTGTGTGAGTGTGTCTATATAATATAATTTAATCATACAGAAGAAGCTCCACAGTGATTTTATTTTACTTGGATCAGGTGTGGGCATGCAAAACAATTTTTTGTTGGTACAACAAACTAATAAATGTATCTAACATAAGAGGACTTGACTAACCCTCATCCTTCCCCCGCACTTTGTAATACATCTTTCCCAAATGACCCGAAGCCCTAAAATTATGCTTTTTTTTTTTTGTCCAGAAAGCTTATTTGGAGCAAATGAGCTGTTCCTGGATCCTTAAGTCAGTTTCCTTCAGTGTGCATTCATATACACATGTAGACATTATAAAATAATTTTTTGGTAAAGTTTTTGCATTTTTAGTTAGTATTTTAAGCTTTTTTTGGCTTTTCTATGTGTACTGAAGCATTCCTCGCATTCCATTCATTCCTAAGGGGGTCAAATTGACCCAGGAGCAAAGCATTTGTTACTTTTTTAAATTTCAACCACAATTGTTTTGTGTATTCGTAGTTCAAAGTCCTAGGGTCTTGGACCCCCCTGATGAACACTCAATTTTTCTATTTTTTTTTAATGAGTTTCGGGTCAAAATGACCCGAGGGAAGAATGAGGGCTACCAGAAGTGAAAATGATTGGGAAAAAACCCTATAAAAGTGTTAAATACGGCTCCTTTAAAGCCTATTACCTGTATTAGGGATGGTGAGACGGCCACCCAGGGAGCCCAGTGTGGCGCTGGCACTGTGACTGGGCTCCCTGGGCAGTGTATGCCCACGGTAGTCTTTAGGTCCAGAGCCCACGGTCTTCAGGCTCATGATCTCCCCGTCAGTAGAGCCCGGGCCTGACGGTAGCTCGAGGGAGGACATGGTAGAGGTGTTGTACACCTTTATCTTCAGGCTAGGAAGTGGGTCCAGCAGGGGAGACGTGGTCATGGGGATCTTATGCTGAGAGTCCAGTGTGGCCTGCTGCAGTGCGAAAAGCGGCCCGCGAAAGGTTCCGGCACTGGCTGTGAGGTCAGGAGGGGCTGTCGGATGCAGTAGATGTGGATTATCTAACAAAGTAGAGAAGTGAAAAGAGAGAAGGAAATGTTTCTGGCTAGCTGCAAAGTTGCAAGAGAGGATTTGCCTAAGAAATTAGAGTATTAAAGGGTAGAGGATTTAAAAGAGGAGCCATATAAACAAGTTATAGCAGATTAAATACTTTTGAGAGAGCAGGTGACAGCAGGAGAAAGGATTAAAACTTAACATATATAGCGGGGGGAAAGAGAGTTTATAATAGGTTTGAAGGGGTTGAGAGGAGTGAGAATGAAACATTAAAAAAAGTGAGAAAGAGATAGTGAGGAAACACGGATGTCTCACCCTGTCGTGGTGGTTTGTAGTTGCCAGGATGGAAGGCTGCAGTAAGGGCCGATGACGAATCTGTGATTTCACCGTGGAAATGGCGGCAGCTCCGGCGATAGACCAGGATGCCCACACACAGCACGAGGATCACGCTCAGCAGCAAAGCCCCCACCAGCCCTGCGTACACCATTACACCAGCACCGGAGCCAAGAGCTGAGAAACATACAGGTACAGATTTACTCATACATACAAACATGTCACTGGTGTAAATAAATGCATTATGCAACACAAAAATGTGAACAAAGGAAAATAAACAGGTTGGAAAAAGGAGAAGAGCTTAATACCCAGACTTTAAACTATCAGCATAAAGTCTTGCAGCTTGTTCCGTTCAAGAGATGCCCACTGAACAGCGTGTAAAGAGACCAATCAAAGTTTTTGTTTTGTTTTTATGCATCATTTACAGAGGTTTATCCACCTTATTTTTAACTTAAGTGCGGGTGTGACTATTTGTAACTTGAATGTACGAGGCTTCCGGTGTCATCTGCTTCATGTTATTTTTAGCTGTACAAAACAGCTTATTATGCAGCTTGATATTGCAAACTGGTATTTCTTATGCTATTTTAATGTATAGTCGTAATTATAAACACTGGTTTGTAGCACAAACTATTTACTGCATTTTGTTATTGTTCTAGTTATTTACCTATAGACCTTAATCAGGGTAGTGCCATATTTAATTTTTGACAGGAATGAAAATGTTGCTGTGAGGGACAGAAGTACAGTGTTTAATGGATTGTGCTGTTGTTTAACAACATACCGATTGTTCAGCTGACGAAACATCTTTCCGAAAAAAAGAAAAAAACTTTCAGTAGAGAAAAACTCAATAAAAACTTGTGAGTTATAATAGAAATAATGTGATCTAGGACCTTTATGCAGTGCTTGACATTGTAAAGACTGTAAGTCTATCCCTCACAGCCTCAATTTCATCCGCTTTAAATTCAATATGGTGTCTAACCTGACTAAAGTCTAAAGCGGCTAATGTATTGGAAGTCTCACACATTCACAGAAAACAGCTTACTTCTGCGTTGCAAAATAAGGTGGATATGTAATACTTGAACTGTTTTTTCCCCAGGAAGTTACATAGCACTGGCCAATCATCAGATTGTAACTGGTGATGCTTGCTATTTTTGTGGTCAGTAAACAGATTGTGGGTGGTCTGAGGATTATAAAAAGGGTCTAAAAGTTTGAACTTGTCTGAACAGTTGGGGGTGCTGTAGATCTAAGTCCACGGTGGGACTCTCTTCCCTGACTCCTGATCCCTGTCTCTTTCTTAATTCAGCCATTGCTGTATTAAGTACTATATTTACATACCTTGCTTAGTATACTATAAAAAGGCTTTAGGAGGAGAGTAGAGATAGAGGTGATCACATAGGTACTGCACTCAAGAGACGTAGAGGAGAGAAAATGAGGAAGAGAGCAGATGCGTGTGAAGACTGAGAGAGGGAAAAAGGGCTCAAGTGACGGGACGGAAGTGAATCTGACAGCCATCTTAACTTATTACAGCAAATGGAACCAAGCCGAATTAGGTACGTTATTTTTTGGTGCTGAATGTCACATTGGTCTCAGAATATTAGCATCACTTGAACAGTAAGCTATACTATTGATCGCTCTGGGCCAGAATGATGCACAGTCATTAACTTCAATGTCTTCAAAAAGCACTCTATTCTGAACCAAGGCTGCATATGTATTATACATCATTTTCCTGGAAGGCGTATGCACATTTTCCTGTGTGTGTGTGTGTGTGTGTGTTTATAAATTGCATAATTCTGCATACTATACTGAACAGGACAACAACCTCTTACACCTGAAAATGATATTTAAACGGTAATCAAGAAAATGTATAAACCTATATAGAAGCCAACCCAATTAAATCAAACAATATTTGGTTATTTTAAAACTCTCAAGCTATTACTATGTTCCCTTGGCCTGTTAACAGAAGTAGGTGCTCCATGGCAGTTCCAAAATATTGTGACAGCTGAAACGTACAATTTTAGTGAAAATTATATTTATTTTATATTTAAATTGGCAATCAATTAAATTGATAAAATAAAAATTAGTAATGGTGATAAGAAAATAAATAAATATATAATCATAAAAACAACTCCCAAAGCTGCACAAAATGTCTCATGCCTGTAGATAATTTTAAAATGGACTGTTTATTAAGTCAATCAATCAACCAATCAATCAATCAGTCAATCGATCAACCAGTCAATCACCAATAATAATAATAAAAAATGCCAAAGCTGTAAAAAGTGTCTGTAGATCATTTAAATATAGACTGTGAGGTGCTGTCCACTATTTCATAATCTCAATTCACTTGTTTTCCCTTCATTTCACATGGCTCTGTTTTATCATGCAAGACAAGTGTGCTGCGTATCTAGAGATGAACAGGAAAGAAATGACAGAGTGAAACTACCCACACAAACACGCACACATCATACATACAGTATATTGCATCTTTTAGATTAATATTTCCAGTTGCTTTTTCATGGCTTTCCCAGACACAATCACATAAGTAGCCAGGCACACAGAGGGAGAGGGTGGAAAGTGGATGCAACAAAGTGTCAAATAAAAAACACTGTTATTAAAATGAAAACTTACGATGGCTTGAATGTTCAATAGAAACCTTTTTATCTGTTAGAAAAAAAGGCAAAAACAAAGAAAAAAGAAAAAGGAAAATAATGAACAAGGATGGATGAGCAAAGTTATGAGCATGGATCAGAGATGACTGCAATTGAAAGTGGAACAAATAATCAATAAATGCAAATACAAGCAAATGAAACATCAAACCATAAACATTGAAATCAAAGGTTTATGGCGGGCAGAGCAAAAGTAAATATCTTACAGCTCTCAAGGGATGGTAGGCACTAGAGGAATCATTTGTGAGGATATTTATATATATATATATATATATGAATGTGTGTGTGTTTGTCTATGCTGCATTATTAATGCTGGAATCTGGGTTGTGCTCCAGACAGGCCGCACTAAAACTTCCAGTATGCACTGTGTTCTGGCTGAACAGTGTGTGCATATGTAAGTGTGTGAGCAAGCTATTGATGTTCTCATGGGAGTATTCAATGCTGTCAGCTGTGCTCTTCCAAAACCAGCCCTAGGATGAGCACCCACTGTCAAGATGAATCTGGCTCACCGTCACATGGCTGGTGTGTTTCTTCACTAGCTAGTATTAAAGTACATTTTGTCTGACTGGCCAAACCTCACCGTTTACCCTCCTGTCCATCTGTGCTCGCCCAGAGCCCTGTGCTAACTCATTTCTGAGGATCAGCATTATTGTAGTACCATTTTAAATACTAATATATGCTTTTTAATTTTATACTGTTTTCATTTTAATTTTAGTTAAAGTTTGAGTAATTTTATAGTGTTTTGCAATTTCTATTAATTTAAAAAAAAAATTGTCTGTTTTTTTATAATTTCAATTTTAAATATTTTAGTACATCAAGTTAAACTAAATAAAAAGAGAAAATGTTACCTTAGCAACTAGCTGAAATAAAATGTGTACATTTTTAATATTTAATTTAATTTATTTTAACAAATGTTTTTATTTATGGTTTTAATTTAAGTTCGCTATAATAACCTAGGTGAGGACCAGGTTCATATCTGTCAGATACTCATTAGAGTGGTAGAGTCACATTCCAAAAAACGTTGTCATTTTGTCACTGATGATGCTGGGTCATGTGACTTACTGCGGGCACACAGTCCCTCTGTGCAGTTCTTGCTCTCCATCATGCTGCCGCTGCAGTGGCGTCCTCCGTTACGCGGTGGGGGCGCTTGACATTCACGACTGCGCCAGTGCGTGCACTCCGTCCCACACGCGGACCACTTGGCCCACTCCGTCCAGCCTCCATCCACTAGGAAAATACAAAATCAGCGATTACGCAGTGGATCATGTGTGAATCTGTTAGTGGAGGGTTATACAAGTGTGTCATGTGAAGTTGTGACAGATGTCAGTCTTCACCTGGACAGAGGGTGGTGCAGGTGACTCTTTGGAATGGTGGGCCATCACAGAAGGCTCCTCCATTGAGCGGTGCTGGATTGGTGCAGCTGCGTGTCCGTCGCTGCCAGCCCCGCCCACATTGAGCATTGCACTCTGACCACTCTGTCCAGGATGACCAACCCCCACTCACTAAGGAAGGAAAACCAGATACACATATAAATATCATGAGACATGCAGTTTGATCTGAGGAGAATGGAGCCTTTTAGCTACAGTAACTGGACTATAAAAGAAAGAAATAAAACAAGCAGCAATGCAAAAGGAAACACTATGAGCCATACAGCAGGATAAGATGTACAAGAGAGTTGCATTTTATATCATACGTGAGGGATAATGTACAGTCAGCCAGACATTATCATTACATAATTGACCAGGACCCCAATATGAAGCAGAGGGTCTTGAAACATCCTGAAGGAGTTTATTTTGCAACAATGACCAGATTAATGTATTTAGTCCCGCGTAGTACACAGGTGTTTACCAAATAAATTAATAAATAAACATGAAATATTGATTTTGTGCTGAAATATTGTTATGGACACTACTGTTTCAAAAGCTTGGGGTTGGTAAGATTTTTTTAATGTTTTTGAAAAGGAGTCTCTTATGCTCACCCAATGATGCATTTATTTGATCAAAAATACAGTAAAAACTGTAATATTGTGAAATATTATTACAATTTAATTTATGTTTTCTATTTGAATATATTTTAAAATGTAATTTTTTCCTGTGATGCCAAAGCTGAATTTTCAGCAGTCATACTCATTACTCAAGTCTTCAGTGTCACATGATCCCTCAGAAATCAATCTAATATGGTGAATATTATCAATGTTGAAAACAGTTGTGCTTCTTAATATTTTTGAGGCAAGCGTAAAACAATTTATTTCAAATATTTTGTATGTTCTTACTGTCACTTTGTTTTGATCAGAGAGAGTAATACAAAAAGACATCAAAGTAGTACAATGTAGGTCACTGGTCAAATATACAGTTATCGATGATTTTAGACTGTAGAATGCTGGAACTGACCAATAAGGATCAAGTATTTCAGAGGGTGATTCTAGGGGTGATTCTAGTACTCTTCCCCTTGATAGATTCTTTCAGTGATTCAGATGGCTGTAGGGATTCTGATTGGTCAAGTGGTTACCGTAGACGATGAGAGTGGCAGTGCTGCTGCGTCGCTTAGCGACCACATTGCGAGCCACGCAGGTGTAGTTAGCCGTGTCAGAGAGTCGAGCCTGCTTGATGATTAGGTCATGGTCGATGGTAATTAGAAAGTTAGAATCCAGCGCCGGGTCAATGAGCTCTTCGTTCTTCAGCCAGTCCACCTGTGGCATTATAAAAAATCAATCCATTCAGTTTGTAGAAGAATGATGTGTATCTGGACCAAAAACTGCACTTACAATCATTTGAATAGAAAATTAAAAAGCACCATGCTCTGAATACAAAAGAGGTGTAAATTAATGAAACTGGACAGTGTAAAATATCCTGTGTGGTTGAAAGTTTTATCAAAGCCTGAAAAGTGTAAACATCAAGCAAACAATCAGTGTTTGTTTGTTTGTTATTTTGCATTGAACAAACTGAAGAAAACCCCAGACGGAGGTTGAGACAATAACAGAAAGGATGGGAAGGCGAGATGGCACCTCAGCAGGCGGGATGCCCTCTGGTGGACGACACTGCAACAAGACTTCCTGCTCCAGACGCACCTCCCTGCCAAGAGGCTCCTGCTCAAAGTTCTTCCTTAGGTCTGATAAACACAGAAATGATTTTTTAAAACAAAACAAACAACAAAAAAGTGTTTCCGTTTGTTTAAATTATAAGCTAAGTATTATTCATATGTGTTCTGGATTAAAGTAGCAATAGCGAAAATAGTCAAAATTCTTGGTTTCTCTTCAGGAGCTGTCTTCTAAAAAGGCATGTCACAGCAACAGATGACATAAGCTGCTGAACACAAACTCACAGGCGATGCGGACGTAAGCCCGCCGGCTCTTTGTGGTGCCTGCCGAGCTCCAGGCAACACACTGGCACCAATAATCCTCCAGCCCAAACAACTCCTCTACCTGCGTCCGGGAAACAGAGATATCTACTTCTCTCACTACCAGACCTAAGACAGGAAAAAAAGAAAAGAATATATCAATCAAGTTTGAAACATATGTGTTACTGAGTGTAGTGAAATTGCAAGCTCCCACACTGTGCTTTTTATTTGAAAATAATAGTTGCATTTACATTGATTCATTTGGCAGATATAATAAAAGACATATAATTATTAAAAATATATATATAATATATAAAAACTATAAATAATAATATAACATCAATACAAAATGAATAAACATTTAAACATAAAATAATAAACTTTTTTAAAAAAAATGTTTTAAAAAATCATGCAAATAAAATAATAAAAATGTATAAAAAATATTTAAAAAAATGTAAAGCTAATGTAAATATAGTTATTAGGAAGATTATAAGTACTAAAGAAAAAAAAGCTTGATCGGGGCAGACAGGGTGAAACAGTTTTGATCATTTTATGATTCAGGCTTCCCTCACAGATCTTATGGCCATAGCCGTGTTCACTGACATGCAAGTAGACTATAAAGTACACAGTATGTTGACAACCACTTCTAAATAAATGACTTTGATTATTCCAGTACTGTCAGTAAAGACAAATCACAACATCACAGCATACAAATACATCCTAGAGAATGTTAAAGCTTCTCTAAGCGATCCTGGGTGACGTCACTTCTTGTTGACGTTCGAACTATTGTCAAACAAAACGGAGGCTAGCTAGACCCTCCCTCCTCCTCATCCGCACACTAACCCCCCAAACCACACCCCCAAACCCTTCTTGTCGGTCATTGGCTGGAACAGTTTGTTATGTTTCGTGGAGCGGGTCGCCGCAGTTTGTTTTTGTTGCCGTTTGTGGAGCCTGGGGTGTCTGCAGAGACCGCGTTTTTTTACAGTGTGTTCAGGGGACAGGCAGCTAGCGGATAGTGAGGAGATGTTTGCTGTATGTGACAAAAAAAGTTTTGGCCTAAAAAACGCGTGACATCGCTTAGAGCGCCTTTAAAGAGGTATAAGCCATGAACCAAACCCACCAGCTACAAGGTGAATCACAACATTACAAACTTCAATTTGAAGCAAAAAGGTATTTGAAAATCAGACATAAAAAGGGTACAAGATTGTAGAGGGAAAAAACTACAATCCTTTGAAGCATAGCGAATGACACAATTGGATTAAAAATGACAGATAACTATAAAACTATTGATCTAAAGATGTTGATTGTTTATAGAAACAACATATATGTTGTTTAACTTTATAAGTTATCGTTCAAAATCATTTCCTCTGTGGAGAAAATGAATGGAAATTTTATTTCTGGAACTCGACTGTTGCACTCTATTCTGTACTGCCGACTTTCTGGAATCAGCCTGGAAAGGGTTTTTTCCTATTCTACAGTACACATAAACTTCAGAAGGTCAAGACCTGAACCCCACTAAACACCTGTGGGATGAACTGAAATGTCTAACTCCATATTAATGTCCATAGTAGTAAAATTAAATGTTCAACAACACATATAAGTCTTGTGTTCAGGTGTCCACATCTTTTGGTCAATATGGCAAACTTTACCTGTAATAGGGTCCAAACTCTCCTTGGTCACATGGTCATTCTGGTTCACCCATTCTCCGTTGCATTTGAAGTATATTTGAGTGGCTGGAGCAGCCTTGCAGGAAAGTTTGACAGGTCTGTTTTTCACTATGAAGGCGTCCTCTGGCTCGCTCTGGAATTCGGGCAATGGTTCGGCCGGAGCAGACGGAAACGAGTCCGGGAGAACTTCGCTGTAATCGCTGCCATCTACAAAAACAAAGAGAGAGCTGTAAGAACATGTGCACGGTTTATGCGAGTGTGTATTCACAAGCGTGTATCTGTCACAGCAAATGAGTTTGGCCTCAGGGGTAATGGCGAGACAGTCGGTGTGTGTTGAGAAAGCCAAAATCCCTGACATTTCAGGTGTACTCTAGTAATACAGCATTTGCTCTTCTCCTTTCCGAGGAGTCCAAACAGAGCCAAGAAGAAGGTGGGGGAGCTTGACCTTCCATTGAAACACCCAGTGATCACACATTATCCCCTGACATTTTCCCAGTGACAGATCCCTCCCAGCACCACAGCACAGCACTCATCCAGGGGGCCAGCGTGTTTCACGGCTCCGCACCCAGGCCCTGTCACCTCCAACACGACAATGCTGTTAACCTTTCAAGCATTAAACGCTACACAGGCTATTGACTACCAAGTGAAAATGAGGTCTGTAGACACCGGCGCCGGGGGGCAAAATGGGAAAGTTGTTGGTTCGCACATTCTGTGATTTGTAGCACACACTTTTCCAAACTGACAAATTTTTTAGGTTTGTCAACTGTGAAATGGTATTTTAACCTTAACTATAGTGGGGTGATAATGTGCTATAACTTAAAAGCATGTGTTCAGATAGTAAATGTCCTTGGTTTCCCCCTTCCCCCAATTCAATACAAGGTTAATGCGCAACATTTGTTTTCATTTTCTATTCTTCCCTAGTCTGCAACGTCAAGCCTAAATATTTATCCCAGAGTTGCTCTTTCATTGACAGGCATAATCACAAATGACAACAAAGGCAATCACAAATAAAAAAAAAAGACTCTGAGCGAGATGACAACTCCCTTTGGCCGTACCAGGGGGGGAGTTCGGCCATTAAACTGCAGAGGCTCTCATGGTTGAAGAAACAGCAAGAGTTTAATTATCACGCACATACTGTACAACTATCATCATTTGGCATTGTAATGATGTGCTAAAATATTTCTGATGGCACAGCTTAGCTTTCTGCAGTGCAAGAGCATTATTTAGTTCTCATTCATATCCTGATGCTGAAGGACACCATAAAGTGCTCTGAAGGCTGACATGCGGGTCAACCGTCTTCGTGCACCTTTGTGTGTGATAGAGCAAGCGTGTGTGAGAGGTACAGGGGTCTGGACTTGTCCGCAGACTGCAGAGGTGAAAGAGGTGAGGGAAGAGCAAACTGAAAATTGGATTTAGGAGGGTGTTTTCACATACAAAGAGGGAGAAACGCTATACAGGTCAGTTCGAAATAGAAAGGGCAGAAAAGAGAGAATAAAAGAGAAAGAGAGCAAACAAACTGGGCTTGACCAGTTTTGTTGAATAATTGTGAACATAGATACTGTTATGCAAGAAAAATTGCAGACATAGTACAGTATAAAGTATTATCATATCATATAGTATGACCAAAGACCAGAATACACTAATGCGTTATCACAAACATTTCCTAGTAATTACATATTTAGTGCTGGTATTTAAGTTAATATCGCCTAATGAAACAGGGGTGTTCACACTGGGCTGTTATCTGAACTAGCCACCAGGATGGTCCCACGAGAACAACACCTGGTTGCGTTCGTACCGCCAGTAGACGTAAGCCTGCCGGAAGTGATATTTGTGATAATGTAGATGGAATGTAAACATGAGTTATGTGATTGAAAGAGCAAAATGGAGGGCTAAGAGACAAAATCTCCAACGACAACTTGCAGTGCTACATATCATCGAGGCTGGAGGAAAAAAAAAAAAACGCGCAGACAAAGGCGACAGGTAAATGCCATCCACCTCTGTGTTCCATGTTTGTGGAGTAAGTATAAACTGTGTGTTTACACTGCTTTTTAAAATGGCAGGTACCAGTGTTTCATATGGTATGCGTTCGGCCAATCAACGTACACTTACGTCACTGGTAGTTCCTATTGTGCTGGGTCCCAACTCTTCGTTAATTTAGTCCTCCCCAAAAGGTGTTCCTATAATTAAAATCTTTCCTTGTTCCTGGTGCGAACATGCCAAAAAGCGGGTACTTCCACCAATAGGAACTATAAAAAAACGTTCCTCCGGTGTGAAAGCCCCTAATATCTCAATAGTATTTAAGACATGGCGTCTTGAGATTTTACTTGACAACACATGCTGAAATGGGTGAAGCCCTGTGTAGTGTTATTGTGTGCGTTACACACAACAAAATCTAATTTATCAACACGCACATCAGATAGGTCAGTGGCTGGAAGGCCACTAGAAGGTCCTAGCAGAAAGTGTCAGTCCAACTTTGTGTCATTATGTGACAGCTACGTCCTTTCTCCAAGCTCACAGCGAGAAAACATTAAAAGACACATATCTATGCATCTATCTCTCTAGAAATAAAATAAAATATATTCTATCTATCTATTGATCGGGGTCACAAACCATAAAAAGCATTCTTTCGCAATTTCAACCTTAAAAGATGCTGTTAATATATAATTTTCGCCATTGTACTCTCCATATCATAAAAAAGCTAAAATATTAATACTTTAACGCAGAGAAGATACAATCATTTCAGTCCTTTAACAAATATTGCTCTCCTTTCCCAGAGACGAATGTGTATTGTGCCACTGACTAACTCTGCATCTTTCTCTCTCTCTCTCTCTCTCTCTCTCTCTCGTCCCTTTTCTCCTTTCCTTCCTTTGTGTCATTCTCTCCTTCGACAGCTGTCAGCTTGTCTTTTTCAGACTTTGACTTCTCTGTCGATAAGCAATTGTGTTTCTCTTTTTCCACACTACCTCCATATGGCATCGATTGCTACAGAAAATCACCAGTCAAAAATATAGCCTGTCATTCCCTGTCACACACAGAGAGAAAAAAAAGCAAGACATTTTGTCGAAAACAACAAGAGAAGCCGAGTGAGAATGTGTACGAGAGTTCCTCACGTGTGTGTGTGTGTGTGAGTGTGTGTGAATGCAGGATCTTTTGGGTGACAAAGCCTGTGTGAAAGTCAGTGTGAAAGAGACAGAATCAGTGAGACAGAGATACAGACTGAACACATGGAAAGATGTCGGTCTTTAAATGCACAGACCAACCGAAAATAAATGCTTATTTATTTGTCTTTCCGTTTGTCTTTCTATCAGTCTGTCCATCTATCCATCTATCTATCTAGCTTTGCTGGCATAATTTCTAACAAAAAAACAAGTTAGAAAAATAAATAAATATAGAAAATGAATGGGAAATAAAAATCTAAATGAATGAAAAAAATAAAATAAAATAAAATAGATAATGATGAAACAATAAAATAAGATAAGATAATGTTTTTTTAAGGGGGTGTTTGGATGAGCAGTTTGACAAACACAAAATTGTTGGCCTTCCATTGGGTTGGACACTAACTTTACAAAGATTGCTCTCAAACATAGTTTGAAGAGCAGACACGAATACCCATCATGCCTTTTGGCAGCCCACAATTTAGCTGGAATGGTCCTGGCACTTCTAAAATGAGGGAAGCTCTTAAGAGGCCCCCGACTGCAGGTCTTTTATCACGGTAATGATAGACAAGACACAGCCGGGACCATAGCCTCCCAGATCTCGGTCTCTGGGAAGGGTGTAAACATCCACACATATGTGCAAACAACCACACATACTCATGAACACAAAAAAACAAGACAACATCCAAATCAAAGGCAGCTGCACTTTTGGGATGTGTGAGAAGCGATTTTGGAGTTAAGATTGTGATGGAAGAGAAACAGAAATGCTCAAAGGGACAACACACACAAATAAACACACACAGCTAGAAATGATGTGGACTAAAATCAGATGTCTTGTCTCTCACACACACACACAAAAGAACAATGGCAAGTCACAATTTATACACAAAAGAATGGTGACGCTCACTCAAAAAGCCACGGAGGGTGTCAGACAGAGTAATTTTGCTAGCTCCAGAAAGTCTGCAGTCATGGGAGCCACAGTTTATCATTAGCCTACAAGGGCTGTAATTACCGTGCACATTATATATATATATATATATATTGACTACAGCTTGACCCCCAACTTTGCAGCTCTCTTCATGAAGCTTTTAAAACCTAGAGTGTCTGGACTTCATGAATGCTGAGAATCAACATTTCTCAACAGTCAGACCACAAGTGGTGAAAATGGGTGGTAAAATCCTGCCCACAGAGACTTTAAGTACTAACATGTCTCAACTCTTCTACCCAAAAGTGATCTTGCCTTTTTGATTTACAGAAATGCAGTGAGGATATACTGCTCTGAAAGATCATATGGTTCACCCAAAAATTGTTGTCCTAAACCTTCCGTGAAACACAAAAAAATAACATATTTTATGAATGTTGGTAAAAGTTTTGGTGATCACTGACTACCATGGTATCGACCAAAAAGAAAAAGAAAATTCTTCCTCCTGTGGAACCTAAAAGAAGATATTTCAAGAAAACCATACAGGTTTGTCAACTAAGATATTCTGTTCAAAACACATTATACCACTCACTCAACACAAAACAGGTAGAACTGCAAAAACACACTCTACAAATTCAAAAAAAATAATTACCACTTTACAGCAATTTGCATATAGCAAACAGCTGGTGTTCCTGACTCATTTAGGATATAACCTTGATATAACCTGAGCTATTCCAACCTGTTATGACTGATCTATACTCAAAACAATATCCCTCTTGTTCTTGTGATTGTAACTGATTGGATGAGGCTAAAAAAAAAAAAACCCGGCTGATTTACAGACACCTGTTGTCACACACATCAGTTCAATTATATATTAATGCATCACGTTGCCACATTGCTTGGCAACCGTAATCAGCCTATGGGTAATTTAATGGACAATATTACTTGGCAGAAGAATTGTGTTTGTATTGTTATTACAGTTTTTCTCAGTCGTTTTGGTGCATTTCTCAGATCAGAAATGAAATTCTCAAAACTACTTGTTCAACCTCCACATCATCTTGTCACTTGTGCATCATAAAAGCGGTTTCTCATTCTTTTGAACAAGTTGCGATTGCTTTGGTGCATTCATG